CCCTCCCTCCCTACCTCTCTCTCTCTCTCTCTCTCTCTCTCTCTCTCTCTCTCTCTCGCACACACACACACACACACAATTCTTGAGATACTGTCTTCTCTCAAGGGCCATAGTGTAGCAACCTGGCTACTTAACTAACTAGATTAAAAACTTCACTTCTTTGTAAAAATAACCTGAGAATGCCTCTTGGTGATTTCACAGCCAAGCAGGAAATCTTGTGGTATTTCTGTTTCTGCACAGCTAAGGGTAAAGGTTTAAACACATTGTTTCCTTTAGTCAAAAACAAAACAAAAAAAGCCAGACACAGCATACACAAAACCAAAAACAGAAGTCCTATCCTGCCAGTATTTTTCAGACATGTTTTTTTCTTTTTTTTTGCAAAGCTTGGGGGCTTCTGTCATGTCTCAGCAACAGCCAACAAGAGTTTAGATTTACAGTTTACAGCAGAAGAATAAATCTCTGAGAGAGTCTTTGAAAAGAAACAAAAAGTTGAATGTTCTTGTAATTTCGCCTTTGAAATTGTGGTTGAAAAGAATGAAACTAAATGCCTTTCTAAATAGCACTTTTGAATCATAATGGGACAGTGCAGTAAAAAGAATCCACTGAGAACAATTTGAGAATAGTTCTTTCTGGTGGCAAAACTATATCTGAGGCATCCTAAACACTGAGCAATGTTCTACATAGTGCTAAATGGGAGAGAAGATGTGCTCTGACTATCAGGATTTATTTCATGTAGCAAAGCCTTTAAAAGCTACAAATGCTAGTAGATGATTTTAGGGCCTCTTTCTTTCTGCCTCAATATTTTAGGAGGAGGTGCATGAGGCTTAAGTCACTTATAGCAGTTTAAATAACATTTAACCTGATTAATTGTCCAGAAAAATCCCAATAGTGTTTAGTTGGCCATGATGAGAAGCAAAATTAAAGTAGAATAGTATATCTTGGCCTGATATAGCAGAGCTTATGTTTTTCTCGTTGTTCTTTATTTGGCTGATTTAACCACAGCCTCCTGTAACTTTTCTCCTTGGCGTGAGTCTTGTATAGCATGAGGGTTTAATATAGCAAGGCTGACTGGGCCCAAATCCTTATGCTTTTTACTCTACTTCTTTTCATACAAGGAAGATGTGCTTTGGAGGCAGCCTTTGAAAAATGCGAAATTCAACTCTGCTAAATTGAAATGTCTTTGATTATGATCATTTCAAGCTGAAAGCATTTATGAAATTTTCATTATGGGGCCCACCTTCCCTTTCTAGCTCTCGACCAAGTTCACTCTGCTGAATGTAACCATGTGCTATATGGGAGCCTTTAGAAGTGGTGAAAGCATCAGGCAACAAATTGGGACACCTTAAATTCCAGTCCTGCCTTAGGCACAAAATCACCTTGGTGGCCTTGGGCCAGACATTTTATATGCTTGACTGAATTTGGGAAATACAGCATTTGAGTAGTTCTATATGTTTTCTTCTTCAGGGTCCAGAAGGAGTTGCTGCAGCTCTAGCTGCTTGTCAAATAGTACGAGAGATGTCCCACCTGGAAACCGAGGCAGAGGTGGTGCGCAGAATGAAAGAAGCAAAATATGAACAGCTTGCAGTGGGTAGGTAGATGTAGCCTGCCCAGAGATTCATGCCCGTAGAGGTCACAGTCTGGCAAATTTCCCTTCTCACAATCAGGATTGGTAAATCAATGCTCCAAATGGTAAAATTCTTTAGACGGATGCTAAGGATTACAACAAAAAAATGTCAATGAATACCTTATTGTCAAACAAGAAACATATCATGCTTCTTCAAAGCTGCCAAGTGGTGCTTCTCTGTTTAATAAATAACTTTAAGATGGTGGAGATGGCAAGTCCAAAAACAATTTCCAGAAGACAATCTGGGGAGATTATTTCCTGTCTTCCACTCTATCCTGCCATGATTATATATTTTCATAACCTTTATTGGTTAGTAAGAGTGTTGCTAAATAAAATAGCATGTTATAGTCCCCAATCAGTTTTTTTTAAAGAAAAGAACACAGGTAGTCTTCAACTTATGACTGCAACTAAGCCCAGAATTTCTGTTGTTAAGCGAGACATTTGTTAAGTGAATTTTACCCTTTCTTGCCATAGCTGTTAAGTGAATCACTGCAATTGTTTACGTTAGCAACATGGTTGTTAAGTAAATCTGAGTTCCCCAGTTGACTTTGCTTATCAGAAAGTCAAAAAAGGTAATCACATGACCCTGGGATACTACAACCATAGTAAATATGAGTCAGTTACCAAGCGGATGAATTTTCATCACAGGACCATGAGGATACTGCAACAATTGTGTGCAAAAAATTGTCTTTTTTTTTCAGTGCCGTTGTAACTTTTTTTTGTAAACATTTTTTTAAATTTTTAAATAAATACAGACACACATAAAATATAAAAACATCTTCCAGCTCCGTATAGTGTGTTGATTGATTACAAAACTTTTTCTATGTCCTCACTGTAGTCATCACTTACATTTTATATAAAATCTCATATTATCAAACTGATATATGTAAATAATTATCATTATTATACATTTATTTGACTATAATTATCATTACTCCATTTTATAAGATATTCTACATCATAAGTAAATTTATATTATGACATTTCATTACATCATCCAAAATCCATCCAATAATAGTACATTCTTATCAAATTCTTTATCTAACCATTGTTAAGATAAATTCCATATTTTACAAATTTGTTTATCTTTGGTTACCAAACTTTTGTGCATCCTCTCCATAGTCCTCACTTCCAGTTTATATAAAATCTCATATTATCAATATATATGTATACAGTATTATCATTATTAATAATTTATTTGGCTATAACTATTATTACTTCATTTTATACAAAGTATTCTAACTTTAAATAAATTCAAATTAATTTTTATTATAACATTTCATTACATCATTCTGTGTCCATCCAATAGTGGTACAATCTTTATTTCTTGACATTTGTGGTATTTGTACCCTAATTGCTTTTTTAATAAATCTTGTAAGGACATCTCTTGACAACTTGTATTTCACTGTGTATCTTGTGAAGGCTCGAAGCCCCTTATCCGTTCCTTCCATCCTCTTCTCTTTAGTTATCACCCATGCTTCTGCCAGAATTTCTATCATTACTTCTGCCACGTTTTCTCCCTTTTCTTCTTCTATCTTCTGGAATCTGAGGTAAAGTTCAAGTCTATCAATCTCCCAATCCAATATTCCACTCTTATCTTTTCAACAGCACTCATTCTGCTATCAATATCTCCAATTTTCTTATCTCTCTGTTCATCTCCTTCATTTTTTTGAGATCTATCCTCATATTTCATCATCATTTCATCTATTTTATCTGTTCTTTGTTCAATAATCTCCCATCTCTTTTCAATGTTCTTTGTTCTTCCTTGTATTTTTTGAATTTTTTGCAAAATCATCTGCAATGTCACTTCTTTTCCCTGTTGCAACACTGTCTATATTAATCTCTTCCTTCCAATAGTACACACTGCCACTTTAAAATCCAAGACCCTTTTCCAAACCTATCCGTGCAAGCTTTTCACTCTGATAGTACGCAGAGAAGCACCTGTATAAACATCCATGCTCTTCCCACTATCATTTTCAGTAAACAAACTCAAAGTCCTTGAAATGTAACAATATCTCTTACTTTGCACAAAATTATCAAGTGCTCAAACGTAGAGAAGAAAAACAATATGTCCAAGCCTCCAAGCCTCTAAGGGGCAGTGTTATTTCCCTCTATTTTCACTTCTCTTTTTATATTCTTTGTTTTCCAATCAAGAAAAAAATTAACAAGAAAAGAGAAAAAGAATAAAAATCTTAAAAAGAAAAAGAGAAAGATAAAATCAGTCCAATTTAAAAAATATGTGTTCGTAGAAATTCCAGCAGTAAAAGGATTAAAGAAAAATAACACACAAAATTTGACTCTGGCTTAATCTTGCCACTTGACCTCTTCTGTCTTCAATTGTAACTTTACTTTTAATCTTTGGGGTGTTCTCTCATCTAATAGTAATAAATTGTCTCACCAATTCAGCACACTTTTTCTCCTGCTTATCTTCAATTTCTGGAGCTGTCCCAACTTTCAGCAGCTTCAATGGACACTTCTTTGTTGCCAGAAACAAGGGCTTCTCCTGAATCTACCAGGGACTTTGCGATGTCCCCAGGATCGACAGGATGTGCTCTTCTCTATCACCATCTCTGCGTGACGGTTTAGGTCCAAAAGGACCATCCAGTGACAGAGATATCGATGGCAATCCTGGAGCTCCAAGATCACATGCCATATCATTGCGACATCAGCCCCGCCTCCTCAGTGCCATTGTAACTTTGAATGGTCACTAAATGAACTCTTGTAAGTTGATGACTACCTCTATTTATTGAAACCACATTTATTTAACTAGAAAATAACTTTCTAAAAATAAGCTGGTGAGACATAGAATTTGGAAGAGAGTATATTAGGGATGCGGTGGCTCAGTGGCTAAGACACTGAGCTTGTTGATCAGAAAGGTCAGCACTTCAGTGATTCGAATCCCTAGTGCCATGTAATGGAGTGAGCTTCCATTACTTGTCCCAGCTTCTGCCAACTTAGCAGTTCGAAAGCATGTAAAAAATGAAAGTAGAAAAATAGGGACCACCTTTGGTGGAAAGGTAACAGCATTCTGTGTGCCTTTGGTGTACAGTCATGCTGGCGACATGATCAAGGAGATATCTTCAGACAGTGCTGGCTCTTCGGCTTTGAAACAGAGATGAACACCACCCCCTAGGGTCAGGAACGACTAGCACATATGTGCAAGGGAAACCTTTACCTTTTACCTATATTGTATACCTTTAGTTGAAGCTCCTTTGAGTTTCTATCTGTGGTTGGAGATCCAGAAAATGAAAACAGAATAATAAGTATTATATCACAAAGTCAAAATAGTTCCAACCATAAGCATCCTTTCCTAAGCAACGAAGACATCAAAATGATGATATTCCACCCTGCCACACACTTCATTTAAAGTTGTGTGGAATTAGAGAGTTTATGTCATCACATCACAACACTCATTTATTTCATTAATGCCTTTTTTGTGAAACCCTCCAATGTGTTCATTTATATTTTGTGGATCTTGGCTTGAATAAGATATTTCCACTTTCCTAAATAAGAGACAAAAACACTTCTTTCTCTTTCCTCTGGACTAGCTGCTGTCCTTCCCTCTGCAATCTTTCTGCCCCTCAATGAAAGTAAAAAAACTACCTTCTTTAAGATAAGCACCGTTTCCTCCTATTGTTCATTCTAGGTTTGGAATGCAAATATTTTGAGAACTTCCTTCTTTATAAGTAAGAAGAATTGTGTGAAAGTAATATTTAAAAACAGACAATTCTTGCAATGACCAGGGAGGATGCAGCTGAAATTTGGATTTTAAAAATCATTGACTCCCCACCCCCATCCTTTTTTACAAGTAGCTTCTATGTTTACAAGCGTGTCGGATCCAGTATGAAATGGAAAAATTTCCATTACCTTTATTTTATTTCTTTTTATGAGCAGAGGGTCCAAGACTTTTCTGTAGTGGGATATTCATATGGGACCTTCCAGATAGTGAAAGAATTCTAGAAGGGGAATTGTGGAGTTTCGGCTGGTTTCCAACAGCCACCAGTGTTGATTAAAATTGGTTCCATTCCAGTCTAGATGTTGCAGTGAAACTGAGCTGGGCCATTGGTGTTTTCAAAAGGATAGAGAAAGTGGGCCAAAATAATTCTATGAATGGTTTTCTTCATTTTTTAACTACAGCATCTCTTTCTGCATAGTCGGTATCAGGGGTCTCCAATCTCTGGGCCTTGGACGGATATCTGTCTGCAGCCTGTTGGGAACCAGACTGCATAAAGAGCGGGCAAGTGGAGCAAAGCTTTATCTGGCATGTGTGGGATCTAGGTTGCATGTGAAACCATCCCCCCAGTGGAAAAAATGTCTTCCGCAAAACTGGTGCCAGAAAGGTTGGGGACCACTAGTCTAAATGAAGTAGAAATAGAGGTTGGATTAGATGACTATTAAGATCTCCATTAATTATATGCAGTATTTACAACAGTATTTCAGTTTTGCAGTTTTATTCCAAAGGGAAACACAATTATTTAATTTGCCCAGCCCTATTATCCCAATAAATGTAAAGGAAAAAAAGGGAAAACATATACAGTAATACAGTAAAACAAAGACACACACACACACACACACACACACACACACACACAATATTTATGAACTTATTTATATATGCACTGTGTATTTATGTTTTACTTTTCTTGCTTTACATCAATTGGGATAATAGGAGGAAATAAATCTAATGTGCTTTGATTACCCTGATTGACTTTTCATGGGCTTCATTTTTACTTACAGAATTACAGATTAATTCTGTATGGGTGTTCTTGGGAGAAAGCCTTAAAATAATTAGGAACAGGAGGTTTGCAATGTATCTTGGTATTTTAGAACCTGTAGAACTTATAGTAGAAATGAAAGATTTCTGTGCCAGGAGAGTATATGAAAGGGCATAAATGGACTGTAATTTTGTCTAGATCAACATCTCTACTTAAAACATGTGTAGCTGGATTCAAAATCACAGCCCTCATTCCTCATTCTGTTTACTTGATCTTCATCTTTACTTTTGGTTTGGCAGAATTGTTCAGCGAATGCTACCATGATAGTGAAGAGCGGGCTTTTGCTTTGCTGGTGAGGAAGAATCGATATTGGAGCAAAACGACTTGTCTCCACTTGGCCACAAAAGCAGATGCCAAGTCCTTTTTTGCACATGACGGGGTCCAAGTGAGTACCTTTCAAGGTGTCCCTTTCTTGAAGGTGTTGGATAATCCACAATTAAGAAGAAAGTGGAGAGAACATTGTTACATTTGTACCCAGATTGGACTTACTTGTGCATATGGATCCTGTAGAGGCCCAGGAACCTCACAACGTCCCTTGCCTCTACCTGGGCTTTTCAAAGAAATGCAGTTGGAGGGTGAAATATAAAACCTGGTCAATAGCCAGGAAACTGATTAGAAATGCATGCAAATCACTTTCAATCGAGCTTTGAGGTATGTAAAATCTGCTGGAATATACACAGACCTGATGAATTCAAATGTTTACTGGTTACAATGTAGATTTTCTCTTTCACTGCTCATCCCCGCTAATCTACCTCCTTTTGAATTAGGCTATCCAAGGTTAGGATAGAAGCCACCAAGGCCAGGTTTAGAATAACTCAAAGAGTGGATGGACTTCAGGATCCCTTTTATCTCCCCAAGCCCTTGCTTTGATGATTCACGAGTCTGGTAGCTATCAGTGGGAGTCAGGGTGAAGGAGGTTCAGCACCCAACTTCTTTTGTCCATCTTCTGATGACATTCTTCCTTTGATCCTTAACAACTTGATTTTTTTTTCATATCTACCATCTGAAAGGACCTTTTCCTTTCATCCTCTCTCTACACATGCCTCCTCTATTTTTAGATTATGGCCATTTCAACCTACTCTCATGTTTTCACATATCTTCCTCTGAACAGTGAAATCAGATATTAGATGGGCCTGCAGATCATTTTTAGGAACTTTGGGATTAAATCATATATTATGCTCAGCAGGAAGCGAGCCCATAAATGACAGCAACACCATTGTGACACCCTGTTTTCCTAAAGCAAGAACAAAATCTTTCCACCCTATAATACCTAAGAATAAAAACAATAATTGATAATCTCACCAGGAGAAAATATTCACATTGGAATGTAAGATATAATGTAATTCAGCATTGTGGAAAAACTGTAGCTACTGCACCTGAGCTAATTTTATATCTAGAGCACGGGTGTCAAACTCATGGCATCACATTGTCATCACATGACATTTCGTGATTATTTTTCCCTTTGCGGAGCTGGGGTGGCTGTGGCCTTCACATGATGTATCCGACCCGCTGGATGACACCCCTGATCTAGAACTTCATTCAATGACTGACTGTTTCCTCGGTTATATTAACAATGACGTTACATTAACAATGAAGATTGTCCTTTGTTAATAAGTTCCATAAATAAGCAAAAGAGCATTATTCTGAGTTGTCAAGAATCGTAAGGTAGCCTGCAAGAAATTAAAACACCATTAACACTAAGGGAGATGTTCTTGAGGACATGTGTAAGAGCCATTCCTTGGATAAGGAAGGCTGAAACATCCTTGAGGTTCTGGAAGCAAGATAATATTCAGAAGTAACTCAGGCAAACACCCCCTCCTCCAATTTGCTGGGGTAAAAGAAGAGAAGGGAAGAAAGCACAATTGGAATTGCAAGATTCTATGGTGGCTTATCTCAGTAGAGTTTTGATCTTCTTGGGAAGTTGATTTTCTAATTTGGTCTGGCGGGGCTGACAAACACATATAGTAAATGTTTAAATGCCACATATTGAAGATTTTACAAATCACAAAGCTATAGATACAAAGCAACAGAGAAGCCATTTCAAGAATCTAACAACAGAAGGACTATTTTATTTCATTGTTTTATTTCATTTTTAAAAGTAATTTATATAGCCACCCATCTCACCACAGTGACTTCTTTAAAAAAAATCTACCTAAAGTGACTCAGCAAATCAGCCAGATGTATAGTAAAAACAGGCAGCCTTAGGTCATGTCCAAATCGATGTACTTTTTGCCCTCCACAATTGTGTCCTCCACAATTGTGTCATCCAAAATTAGCATTAAGCTGCAAGTTACAATATTTTTTTCCTTTTTAAAAGGAATAACTGATAAAATAGATACAAGAATATCTAAAAATAAGAAATATTTTATAAGCCACCTAGAGTTAATGAGAGTGAGTAGACAGCCATATATTTTCTTAAATAAAAGGGGAAAAAAAGAAAAAGACCCTCAGAAGCTGAAAAAAAAGAAAGGATAGTCCTCAACTATAAACAAAAGAAGTCTGATTCTTCTAAATAAAAAGCTTCACAGAGATATAATGCAGGACTGACTAGATTCATGAGTTAGTTTTTAGGGGAAACAGCTGGCTATGAAATATATGCCTTGTTTTCATTCAAAACCATTTGCACTCATTCCAGAATTTCCAGAAGCTCTTGTGGTGAGGAACAGGTGAAGAGACAGGTGAAAAGTTGAAAAACACATTCACATTGAATAACTTTAGCCTCTTGAGTTTAAGAAAAGAGCCAAGCATTATGATATACATTAAAGTTTTTTATTATAATTTTTAAATATACATTTTAATTTTTAAAATGTATTTGTATGTCTTTGGTACTTTCTGAGATTGGTTGCTTGTTTGCAGACATTTCATTACCTAACTAAGTAGCATCATCCATGCTAGTGAATGTGGTTTTTGTAAAAAAGAAAGAAAACAGTAGTATGCCCTGCCATTATTGAAATGGTGTTGTTTCCTCCTTGGTAATTTCTCAATCAGGGTATTGTTTTCTGCTTGATTGTTTGTCTGATGTAATCCCTGCTAATTTTGGTATTGACTGCTATGATTGGCTATGTTCTGGGTTTTTTTCTTTCCTTCTTAGCTTTTTAATTGTATTATTATATCATTGATTTTTCACATGTATCTTCTCTAAATTTCAGGCATTTCTGACAAACATTTGGTGGGGAGACATGTCAACATCTACCCCAATTTTGAATCTGATCTGTGGATTTGGGTGCCCTTTCCTGATTTACACTAACTTGATTTCATTCAGGTATGAACCATAGATTCTTTTGCATCAAGAGGAAGAAAAAAAAATGAATGCAAGCATAGTGATTGTAATGGTGTGTTGGAATGGCCTTGGGAGACAGAAGGAAGTGCCAAAGCCTAGACCACGGTCTGATAAATGAAATTTGAGCCTGAAGAAGGAAGGGTGGTAAAAGGGTCTCAGAAAGGACTTCCTTAGTTTTCAGGAGAGTAAAAGTGTGAGACAAGAGAGGTACCTAGAGACTTGCAAGATTGTTAACATAACCATACAATAAAGATACAGCTGGTACTCCTGGTTGCGTTTCTTATCAGGGCTATTTCACTGGTTTAACAGTGACCAGCAAATACTGAAATGGCAACAGAATATGTTCCTTCTATATTCTGAAAATAAAATATTCTACTTTCTCCATTTAAAACATGTTTATAGAGACAACTTTGATCTTTATATCTGTAATTAGAATATAGTTTAAAAAGTATACTCAACCCAGATTATTTTTTTAAAAAAACACCATGTTACCGGAGAAAACAAACTCTCTTATCACTCACAATCTTTAGCCCTCTCTTGCTGACTTCTGCTTTCCCTTTAAAAATGATTTATTAAGGCCAAGGCATCAGTGAAGAAAGTTAGAACTTTGAGGACAGTAATAGTTCCAAAAGATCATGAGAACATTTTGTCCAGGTGAATAACTAATGCAAGAATTCAGCCCAGTGGTACTGTATCTGATTGACATTGGAAGGCAAACAGCTTGGGGAATCAAGATCTGGGTGGGATACCCAGTGAGGGATAGATTTGGATTACTTGGAAATAAACAACATTATTTTTTACCCATTTGGAAACACAGTAACTCTTTTATCTCTGAGTCATGTCCTTACTGGCAGGAATCCGGGTTATTTGATCTTTATGAAAGATGGAAATGGGTAGTGAATTTCTTCCTAGCATTCCAGAGGCAATCAGACAGAAAGCTCTTGTTTTAATTTCTGCGTATTATGTTGTGTATTATACTTTTTGCTAGGGAGGAACCAAATGGTCAAAGATAAGTGGTTATAGTTCAAATGACAAGTTTCTTATTTCTCTGGGACTGGAGCATGCAATTATGTTCCTGGCGCAAGGGGAATCAAAGTGATGTTCCTCTTCAAATTCCCTTCTCACTATTTTTATCAGGGGAAAAATATCATGCACTTTTATTAAATCATTTGAGATTCTTCATATTGCTATCTATTATAATGCTATGAACAAGTGTTCATATTTCCAGAATTCTAGTCAGCACAATGTTAAGTCCTTTCAAGGTTTACAATGAACAATATTATTCCCAGGACATTGCACCTTAGCCCTATTATAAAAGCCATATTCAGAGGTGGTTGCATTTTACAAGGTCTTTCATTATGCCAGTATTGTATTCTCCTTTGAAACTAAGCATTCCAACTGTCATACTTGGCTTTTTATGATACTAATTAATCTATAAATCAAACCTATAGGCTGCTCAACTCATTGTGATTTTGGGCAGCCTATTAACTTTTATACATGACATTTCTTTGCAAATATCTCTGGGGTACACATGCTCCCTAATGACCTTTTAATATATTTAATTAGTGATTGTATTTTAAGCTGTCTTTTCAGCCAATTTCCCCTCTTCTGCATTTGGATGGTGCATAAATATAGACATAGAAGTACACTTTCTTTCAGTTCCAAGTGATTCTAAGTTGGATTCTGTCTGAGTTCTGCTTTTTCCATGTGTCAATTTTGAAATAATTATGCTACAGATGTGATAAAATCAAGGGATCAAGTTTCCATGAATCACTTTTCTGAGTATGTAAGCCTAAAGGCCACTAGGAGCAATACATGTCGAGAAAATTAGTAGAGTCACTTCATGCTTTTATCTGCTTCTCTTTTCCAGAAAACTTACAATTTTGCATTTATCTATGTAACAAGCTTTAAACTTTCATTACTTCCATCCTCTCTCAGATTAGTTGTCTCTTTCTCTTCTGAGGCATGCAGTTTAGGCTCTCACTTAATTTACTTTATCTCCATCATGGAGAAGATGCTACCGGTTCTGATAGATCTGTGCAACTTAGACTTTCCTATCATAATGTTTTTTTCTTAAATCAAACGCAGTTTGCTTTCATGAAAGAACCAGCCTCAAGAATGCTCTCTAATAATGACTGTATTTGTAACTTCTCTCACTGAACAATCCTTTTCTCTGTATAAAATTTTGGCTATTGAGCAAAAATTATTTGACCCACTGCAGAAAGAGATTTAAAGATTAGATAGAGAATTAAAATTTAAAAAAATCTAAAAGAAGGCTTACTGTTGTAGAGAACTTATTGGTAGGAAAGCAGTCAGAAGTGCTACCTATCATTCAGCAAGTAGAGCTGACTATTAAGTTGATGTAGAAGGTTGTTCCTAGAACGAAAAAGGATAGCAAATGTACTGGAAGAGCTAAGATAAACAAAAACTAGGAAATAGTAAGAAGAATGAAAGTTTGCAAATGGAAAAAAAAACTTGTGACATCTAGTCCTGAATATGATTCCCTATTTACTAACATTATGGCTATAATACTGAAAAAGATGTTAAGAGTGCATTGCATGGACTGTTTATGCTCAGGAGAGGAGCATAAAATCTAAAATATTCTTAATGTTTGATTCTGCAACAATTTGCAACAAATGAAGAGTTGCAAGTGAATTATTAGAATCCATGGGTTTCTTTCTGGAAATTTTGAAGCAAGTAGAAAGGCTAAATGTAACATGGACAGAAGTAGTTGAAGTAGGCTTACTTCTTAAAGAGTTTGCATCAAGAATATGAGAATATTAGTCTTGTTCAAATTAAATAAAACACCAAGTTTTGTTCGAGAACATTTGCTAGAATATAATCAGAGCAATCAAAGTAGGCAGTAGAATTGAAGAGAGGAGTATTCAAACTATCAGGCAGCAGAAAATGCTGCTTTTCTATTTCTAATTGATAATATGGTATTAGCTGCTTTTGGCATTATCATTTGCAAAGATAAGTAGGAATGGACTTGGTAAGTTACTCTGATCTGTGCTTCTAGCATCCAGAATATTTCATGCACTGATCTGGCTAACAATTTCTGCTCTTTGTAGTATAAAGGTCAACTACAGTGGTTCTTCTCTTCCTGCAGGGTGCAGCTGTGATGTATTTATGCAATTGTTGAATGTATGCCCTGTCTTCCTGATTTGTAGGAGCAATCAAAGCAGTTTACCATTCATAAAATTAATGCAATGAAAAATAGAAATCGATTTGAATAAAATACTATTACAACAATAGCTAAAAGCTTGATGATAGAGAAGCATTTTTGCCATTTTGCTACAGTTTCCGACAGAGGAAAAACAAATACATTTTGTTGTGTATGTGTATATGGGTGTTTGTGTGTCTATTCCACAACTGCATCCCCTCTGCCTTTCAAGATTTTACCTTTGGTTTTCTTGCTCAATTTGTTGTTTCTTCTTCTTTCCCTAAATAACTAGAGGTTTCACCTCTGTTAGGACCTCAAAGCTATTTCTGTCTTCCTTTGTTTCTTTTTCTTTAAATGGAGAGCTGCTTCCAGTGTTGCTCTTGCTGTAATGCCTTTTGAGCTCCAGGGTGGCCACTTACTACTTCATTTTTTTTTTTACTTCAAGCATTATTACAAATCTGTACTGACAAATTTGTAGCTGGACTTCAGAGTTCAGAGATGCCACGGGCACCAGAGGACATGTCTATTCATTTCCCTTTTGTTTCTAAAGGCATCACCGATAGACAGCTTTTTATATATTCTATTTGAAGCGATGTATCAGCAGACTGATTTGAACGTGTCTCAGAAAGAATGTGTGTCCTTTGTATAGAAACCTGTGTATCCCAAAAAATCTCCCTGCATCTTGTGAAGCTCAGGTTCATTTTCTCAGGGTATCATTTTGTTTACATCTTGAGAACTTTTAGCTTCTCTTGGGCTAACTAACCCTGTGCATAGAAAAGATATACCTCAAGAGGGGAGCATCCATAGGGGTGCTGATAGTGGCATCCAAATAGGCAAGATGGCAGAAGTGGTGTTACCATCCCAGCCTTGTTTCTTTGTCCTGCTGTCTGGCACAACTGCTCTCCCCACCATCCTTAAATTCCTTGGCAAAAGTGGTACCATAACTTCCAGCTCCACATGTATATTTTCCACCAGGTTATTCAGATGCAATATGATCTATGATTTATTTAAATTGCATATAAAAAAATCTCAGAAGGATGATTCTGCTAATTTTAATTTGGATTTGTCATTTATGCTGAGGTAAATTTGGTTTTAACTTTATGCTGAGGTAAAATTTAATAAGATAAAATTCATACATTTTTGTAATGTTTTGTAATATAATTACTCTTGTGTGCATTTTTTTTAAAAGCATGGCTCAAAAATGTGCAAAGAGCATCTGTTACTGTAGCAATCTCAAAAATGAAAATTGTATTGTCATTTCAACTGTGAAAAAACAAATTTGTTTTCAGTAGCATTAAGCATTAAATCTATTTCTTTGCAGTGAGGAGTCAGTGTCAGAGGAGGACTCAGAATCATTCAAAGATCTTGACAGGCTTGATACAGAAAGGACTTTGCTGTCTTACACAAAAACGGAGTAAGGTTACATACATGGCTCTAGAAATATTTTTTTAAGAGATGCATTTATTAACTGTAATTGCTATGACCATCCAACCATGTTAAATATAGAATGTGATCTAAAATTGATGAAGGTTGTGCTTTTCTTTACAATGTCGAAGCTGTACTTTACTAAACATTTGAATCCCTCAATTTGTTATTTTTAACGGCCATGTTTAACAGTTATTTTTATGAGTATGAAAATCCACCTGCACAAATGCTGCAGAATGCGAGAAAAATACAGCATGTTGGTACCCTTCCACAAGTCACGGCTGTGTGGCTTCTCCTTTCGCATATATTGAAATGTTTCATGGGGCAGTAGGACTTTCTATCATTATGTCTTAGAAGTTAGAACTGTATGCCTTTTTGTCTATGGAGACTCTCAGTCATCCTGGTCATAGCTGACCCAAAACTATGCTTTTTCAAAAGGCAATAGGAGTTTCTTTGTTTTGCCTGAAGATGATTCACTTCTCATCCAAGAATCTTCTTCAGTTCTGACTGAATGCCATTTAGCAGAAATCTATTTGCGGAGATCTAGATTTTTTTTTTTTAATGAAGCAGTCCTATTAATGCTTTCCTCCAAAAAGAACAATAACAAAATTATGGCTATAGACACTTGATCATTGGGAATAATTATCTTTATACCTCCAATTCACAGTGAACATGCAAACCCAAGAAACTCTTTCATTGCTTTATGAAATATATTTGTTGCCCCAAAGCTCTACTGAAATGAATGGAATATGTAGAGACAAAATAATATGTAATGTATGAGATGGTTTGAGTTCAGTCCCTAGTTAGGATGCCAAATAATTGTCACTTAGGCTAAAATAAATTCTTGCTATGTTATTTAAATATTAAACATAAATAGCAAGATCTACTGTAAATCCACTATGTTGGGAAGCTTGGTTCCATTACGTACAAAAAGATGGTTTGTGGTTCTTTTAAAAATATGCTGAAAAAAAACCCCAAGTGTTATTAGTCACTAGGCAGCTTGAATTCTGCTTCCTCCACTGTTTCTTTAATGATGAATTTTAATACAATATCCACCCCGACCACCTTTGCTTCTGATCTTCCTGCAGTGAAATTATTACTGCGTTTTTTTTAATATTAGTTTGTTGCTATGGGAATGGTTGGGATGAGCACTCATATCAAATGTATATATAACCTCACTGCAGACTTGCTCACCCAAAGCTCAAAGGAATTGCTATTTTTATAATGGCTACATTTAATGTTTAATAAAAGTGCCAGGGGAAATTTAAGAACTGTAGTAGGAGTCAGTTCCATTGAGCTTCATTCGAAAGTTTTCTTTCTATACATGTCCTACTCCTTAGAATCAGCTCCTAGTGTTCATTACCATCCATTACCCTTGCTGTTACAAAACAGCAATATAAATATAAAATAACCAAAAGAGATGTTATATCAGATGAAATTCACCAGAAGTCTCATAACAAGGTGTCTTAATCAAAATATGCTATCATTAAAGTTGCTTGTCCATTGGAGAGCATTCCATGAATCAGAGTATAATTTTAATCTTTAAAAAAAAATAATTAAAATTTAGACTAACATAAAAGGGAAAGCCAGATGGAAATAAGAGGACAAGTTAAAAAGAGGACAAGATAGAAAAATAATACATCAAACAAATATATAAACATATATAAAATACCATAAAACACTAATTAACATTCTGAAGAACCAATATTCATGCTCTCTTAATTTTAGTTTAACACATAATAAATTATCAAATATGAATAACTGTATGTTTGAAAAACTATACTATTTCACTAGTCTTCAAATTCCAAAGTGAAAAGTTATTTCCTTATCTTGTAAGATAAGAAGAAAACAGTGGTCTCCAAGTCACAAGAAATTTAGTCGAAGTATTGTCTCTAAGCAAGGCAGTCAATTCTGCTATGTCAGCTAGCTCTATTCGTTTCAAAGTCCATTGACTTTCCATTGTTGGTATTATTTGGAACTTCATTCAACCTACAGAGGCTTCTATAACTCCCTTCTACAACCCTGGATGCTCTGGCATCAGAGTACCAATGTCAATAAAGACAAACAGATGAGACTCTCTTTCACAATCTCTGCCCTGTGCCTATCAACTCAGAAGTAAGCTATGTTGCATTCAGGGAGCATTATTCTGGAGTATTTTAAATTGATTTCCAGAGTTAAAATGCTATTGTGCCCCTCTCCCTAAGTTTTCATTAAATGAGTTATTGACAGCCTTCCTACAGTAGGTAGATGGACAGAAAACACAACCAGTTGAGCTAATTCTAATTCATTGTAAGTCTACATTAACAAAATTTTGCAAGTCTGAAAGTACAAATCTCCTCTGGTCTCTTTTTGTAGTGTGATAGCTTAGGAAGGATCCATTCTGAGCTTCTTTCTCTACCCATTATGCAGCTCTTCTCCCTCTTATCCGATCTATGGAGCAATTTTCTTCACCTTTCTCCACCTCCCAAGATCATTTCAAATATTTCAAATATCATTACATCTATTCACATATTCAGATGTTTGTTATCATAAACTAGCTATGCTTGTTTATAAATGATCACAAATTCAGATTAGAAATGCTGTTTAGATGTAAACCTCTTTTCAATTCATTAAGGGTCACTTTAGAGAGAATGTGATGCCACCACTATTCATAGGTATGTAAATTTGATTTGCATTGAGATTTTCACTCATCAATTCTTTTGATGCTGTTTGGTATTAGATGGACCCTGAAACATTATGAACTCGTGTCAATATGATCTAAATCTCAGGGAAAAAATGATTGGGTATCTATTGATCAACTTACCACTGGAATCAGTAAGAGCAATCAAAGACATATCAGTGGAGTGAAGATTTCATTGGTTGTCATTACTAAAAAGATTCATTAAATATCCTTGTATTTTGATAAGGTGGAGAATAAATCTATTCAAATATAGCAGTTACAATTGAATTGGGGAGGAAACATAATTGGATGAAGTTGCTTAATTTTAAAGCAGAATTTGGGAAAAATGAGAATGATCAACATCTCTCTAAAGTCAGTCTGAACCCTTGGCAGATTCATGTCTAGAAATGCATTGCTAGAGGACTGTTCTTTCACTTTTGCAGGGCTGATGCCAGACTAGAAGCAGAACCTGCCTCTGGAAATATTGCCTATGCAACATTTATGTTTACACGCTGGAAGAAATTCTGGACCGCTCCTGTTACAGTCTTTATGGGGAATGTTGTTATGTATTTTGCTTTTCTCTTTCTATTTGCCTACGTCCTCTTAGTGGATTTTAAACCTCCACCTAAAGGTCCCTCTATCGAGGAGAACATACTCTACTTCTGGGTCTTTACACTAGTCTTGGAAGAAATCAGACAGGTTGGTGATTTGCTCTGTGCTGTCTGCCATGTTGCTAAATTTATCAGGTCACTGGACCTCTCTAAACCAGAACATGGCAGGAAACGCAAGGGGGAGAAATGCTAGCATTTTACTATAGACAGTAGCATCCTGATCCAGCCTGGAGCTTCTGTGCTGAAAGATTTATACAGCCAAGAGGAAAGAATGGGTCCTTCTAGATTATTAATGGCTTCAGGAAGTAGAAATCTGAAAGTGGTTGATAAGAATAAATTACTGCATTACTTCAACAATTTCATATCCTTTCCACTTCCTCCCCTTTTAAGAGAAACTGTATATATCTGTATTTTTTTCAGGTACAGCTATGCAAAAAGCCTTGAGCTACAGTCAATATTAATTGCATTCATTAAATTTTGGCACAGGAAAAACTGAATGGGTATTTAGGTCATTGCTGCAAACACATCAGCATGTATAATCCCATGCAAATGCCTAGCTTAGTCCATGCTGAGTTTTAAATCCAGCAGTTATTCCATCGCAACTGCGGGAATCTGATAGCTTCAGTGATGAATTGCTCCTGGGTTTGTTACTACAAATATAGACTCACAAGTATTTCCATGATGTGTCAAACTAGAGTATGAAGACTTTGTCAGAATGCAAGAGTATTAAAGAGGTAGGATCCCACTTTTCCACAAAAGTCACAGTCTCCTATAATCACGAAGCCTGATAAAATGTTATAGTTCAGAATAAATGAATTAATTTTCAGATTCCATAGATCTTGGGATGCTAAGTAAAGGTGGGAATAAACAACATAGCTATGTCGGTTGGATCATCCAAGCCCATTAAAATAATTTTCCAAGCAGTAGGATGCTCAGGAATGAAAGACCTTTTAATTATTCAAGCCTAGGAAAAAAAATGATCCTTATTTGCAATTGTCATATATTTCATACTCAATTTTGAAATGTTGAAACTATTGATGAAGAAATGAAAGCATTAACATAACAGCTATTAACTTGCAGAGTTTCTTTACTGATGAAGATATGAATCTAATAAAAAAATTCAAGCTCTATGTAGAAGATAATTGGAATAAGTGTGATATGTTGGCTATTTCTTTGTTTATCATTGGAATCACTTGCAGGTATGTGGATTCATATATTTATCTCCCCCCCCCCTTTTAAAAAAGTATTACATTATATTACAGGTAGCTAAAGAAGAGATGATACTGTGCTGAAAAAAAAAATCCTGAAAGGCACTAAGTAGTCAAGCATGGGAGATAACTACCATAAGTGGACCCAAAGGTGCTTTTTCAAGAGGAAATTGGATTTTTTGGTTTTTCTTTGAAGGTGTTTTGCTTCTCATCCAAGAAACTTCTTCAGCTCTGAAGAATAAATGTCTTCAAAGAAAAACCAGAAAGTCCAGTTGCCTCTTGAAAAAGCACCTTCAGGACAACCATGAACCTGACTGAGAATCTCCTTAAGTGGAAATTATGAAAAGATCACTAGTTCAGAATCAGAAATGACATTTGGGGGGGGGGGGGGAATAAGGAATAACTATTCAGTCCTTGTAAGAATCAGAGGATATCTGGAAAATTTCAATATGTGCAATCTGTAAACAACAGAGCAATAATTCAACAGGATTCAATAGGATAGATGACTGCTACTCTTATTGGTATAGTTGCCACAACTCTTTTCCAGGGGCAACAAAGCTGTTTGTTATTAATTAACTCTATTTATTTGAGTTTTTAATCCAGCCAGAGTCACTGTTGTACAAAATGAGCTGCCATGTAAATGGAATAAATAAATATCTAAATAGTGCAAAATAAAAATCTTACCATGACTGAAATACCAGCACTGGTTGCTAATTGCTTTTTGGACAACTAGCGATTTGTCATGATCTTGGATCAGAATAGCTGAAGAGAGGATTACCCTAATTTCAGAGAGTATTCCTTGGGAATATGGAGAGAGAATTATGCGCAAGCTATGGCCCATAGACTTTTGGAAACATAAATTTACATGTGTATTTAGAAAAGAATGTAGTTTGAGCTGTTAGACTGATATTAATAGTTATGTGTTTGTGTTTTAATTATGCCTTGTTATTGTGTTCCTATTATATTTTATTTTTGCATCTTTTTCATGATAACTGCCTTCATCCTCTTATAGAAAGGGAAGGCATAAATTAAATATCAATGCACAAATGTTTCTTCACCCTCCAGAATGTTTAAGTCAACTTTTCACGATGGTCGAACAGTACTCGCAATTGATTTTATGGTGTTCACTCTGAGACTGATTCATATTTTTGCCATTCATAAACAACTGGGCCCAAAGATTATCATAGTGGAAAGAATGGTAAGTGCAGCATTGCAGAGAGAAATGAAAATAAAAGGGGTGGAGTGGACCTGGTTTCAATCCAGCAGGCTCAAGGGAAATTATGCTATTAATTTCAAATGTCTAAGTATCATTACATCCACCAACGTATATGCCTTTATTAAGGTATTGATTTACTAAGACATCTACCAGACACTGTTGAAGATTTCCTTGCTGTCAGTGTGCCAATTGCTCAGCACACACAAAAGGCTTTTCCCTGCCATGTATTCCCCTTGGTGTTTAGAAACCTGCAAATCTTTTTTTTTCTTTTCTTGGTTGCTTCCTTTTACTTTTTATCTCAACTTTAAAAACTATTTGAATCTTAATTAGCTATCTTGGACACTGTTATGAGGAGAAAGTCAGTATAACATAATGTTGAAGAAATAAAAAGAAATTCTTCCCTTAGGAAATGCTTATATTATTTTTCTTCTAAATGCAATATTTTTGAAGGGACTTCTCATAGGTTGGAAGTACTAGAAGTTAAAAGAAAAGGGAAACCATGGCTATAGCAGAAGAGATTTCGCCTGCAAAAGCTGCAGGAAGGAAACCTTTCTTTACAACGTGTGTGTGTGTGTGTGTGTGTGTGCGTGCGTGCTCAATTTGACCTAATTCAGCATGAAAGAGGATTTTTTAAGAATACATGGTGACAAAGAAAAGAAATCCATTGTGATTCTCTTTGAATGTTTCTAATTCAGTAGCCCCCAACTTGACTTTTCCAGATGTCGTGGGACTATAACACATCTGAAGGGTGCAAAACGTTGGGGAAAATAGTTTCAGATTTTAATTTTGCATTTGTTTATTTATTTTTACAGATGAAGGATGTTTTTTTCTTTCTCTTTTTCCTGAGTGTGTGGCTTATTGCGTATGGTGTAGCCACACAAGCTTTGCTTCATCCCAATGACAGTCGTGCTGAGTGGATTTTCAGGAGGGTCCTTTATCGTCCTTACCTTCAAATATTTGGACAAATTCCATTGGATAAAATAGATTGTGAGTTTAATTTACTTTAATTAAATTTTCTACCAAGGGGTATTGGTGGATGATAATAAATCAGTCCACAGCATTCTTATTGCACTGTATCTGAAGTCATCTGTACTCTAACGCTTTTATTGTATTCACCCTGATGAATGGCATAATCCACCATAATAAAAATCATAGACTAGAGCAAGTCAAAACTTAACTAAGTGTGCTGATTTGCACAGAACTTTAAGTCCTATCACTGAATCATATCAGCTAGAAACATTTAGTTGTATATGGGTAAAGCCATCCTTTGCATAAGATAGAATTGACAAAGGAAGCAGCATGAGGCAAATATTAGGTTTAAGTCAGATTCAGTGATATCAATGAAGTTTATGACAGATTCTTCCAAGTCCTTTGGCCTTCAGAAGTTCTGACAGAAATGGCAAAGTCCAGTTGTCCTCTTTTGCTATGTCTTCTTGTTTCCCTGTTAAATTCTGTTCTACTTGGAGGCTCTGTTTCCTAGGCCTGTCCCTTAGAGATGCTACTGCTGAGTGTCAACTGCATCAGTTCACCTGATTCCTTTGTAAACTCAATGTAGTAGAAACTTGTTTTAGCAAATCATTCTGAACCTCTAACAGTTTCAACCATCTTTCCTTCCTTCCTTCCTTCCTCCCTCCCTCCCTCCCTCCCTCCCTTCCTTCCTTCCTCCCTTCTTTCCAATTCTCTTTTTTAAAACTTCACTACAACAGTATCTCGCATGGATTTTGAAAACTGCACATTGGGTCAACAGAGGAACCAGACGGCGAGTGACTTCTCGTGTCCCAGTGCCTACGCTAATTGGGTGGTTATAATACTCTTAGTCATTTTCCTACTGGTTACAAATGTGCTGCTTATGAATCTCTTAATTGCCATGTTCAGGTAAGTATAAAATGAGGATCTATAAGAAAATATAAGAAACCTTCTATCTGCTAGCTGCAGATAGAATAATATGCATGCCATCGCTCTGGGACTTATCGTGTGTGTGTGTGTGTGTGTGTGTGTGTGTGTAATAAATGGAATCCACAAAAGGTTTTGCAAAGAAAAGCAATAGCAAAATAAACATACTGAGAGTACAGCTATGTATTCTGAAATAAATCCTGTTGAGTAAGTGTAATGTTATTGACTTCTTGATAACTGTGTTAGACTGACATATTGCATACTTGTTCTTGACTTACAACCATGGTTGGAACCAAGATTTCCATTGTTAAGCAAGGCAGTGGTTAAGTGAGTCATTCCCAATCTTGCGATCTTTTTTGCAATGGTTATTAAGAGAATCAATGCAGGTTTTAAAGCAAATTACATGGCTGTTAAATGAATCCAGCTTCCCACATTGACTTTGCTTGTCAGCTGATTGGGAAGGTCATAAATGGTCATCACATGACACCGGGACATTGCAACCATCCTGAATATATGCTGGTTGCCAAGTGCCCAGATTTTGAACATGTGACTGTGCTATGGTCATAAGTGTATCACTTTTTTCAATGCTATTGTAACTTTAAGTGGTCACTAACTAAACGATTGAAAGTCAAGGACTGGTCTGCTTAGCACCCATTTCAATGGAATTTGGTTGTTTCAGATTTGTCACAAAAAGAATTGCTGATAGAATCAGGAAGGTTCTCAATCTATTTAAAATGAAGACTTACAGTAATATTATTCAGTATATTATTAATATGTTTAAATATGTTACTTTTGCAAAGTTTAAATTCTTAATAAAGTTGCACATGTTGTGCAATAGGTAATTTGTGCAGATATTTAAATAAATAGTCCTATCTCTGGAAATAATCTACCGTATTTAACTTTATTTTCTCTGGCAATTAATAAGGGAGAACTTTTTATAGTTTATATGGAGTTCTAAACATTTATCTTCATAATATTTTTTATGAAACATATTTGACATCTTGGGACCTTTTAAAACCCACTGAAAATATTTACTATGCTCTCAACTAGCCCAGAGATATATGGAGATATAAGGCAATATAGTTGGATAACCTTCTTTAAATAGGCAGGACTACTGATGTGACCTATTCATGTGATCATATTATCTCTTCCTGATCTGGAAGTCCTAAATAGCTCATGTTCCTTCCAGTTTTGGGTGATGTACCTTTGGGACACAGAACAAAAATAAGAACGGAAACAAAAACTTTGCCTATTTTAAACCAAGGGACATAACAACACTAAAACAAATACAGCCTAAAATATTCTATAGTCCGTGGAAACAGCAACATTCTCAGTTAGCAAATAAATATATCAGATGTAGGTATTAAATGCTTGGGTATCTCCTAAATGACAATTGAAATACAAAACAAGCTGATGAAACAGACAGCTTGCAGAGAGTATTGAAAGAAAATTTAGCAAAATGGTGATATTGTTTCAGGTTTAGTCTAATTTGTTCTATGCATCAAGTACACCAATGCTTGAAGATTCACAGGAATATTTTACCATGTTCAATGTATTAATTGCATTAATTAATGTATTAATGCAGATCAAACTCGAGGCCTAGAACTGCCTCTCCAAATCACTTGAAACAATTATGATGTTTCATACAAAAGGAATTGTGAAATTCATTTTACCTCAGCAGAATCCAAGCTTGTTTACTATCAGTGTTAATCACACCAAAAAAAGCTGGCAGTCTGTTTCCTCAATTAGAAAAAACATCAAGAACTTTACACATTTGAAAACAGTCTTCTCTTTAGCGAATAAGATCTGTTGATACCACCTTTCTTCTTTTTAAGTTACACTTTTCAGGTTGTTCAAGGAAATGCAGACATCTTCTGGAAATTTCAGCGATACAACTTGATTGTTGAATACCATGGTCGTCCTGCATTTGCTCCTCCTTTTATCATTATTGACCACGTTAAACTATTTCTTAGATGGGCCCTTAAGAAGACCGAACACAAAAAAGAACACCTGGGTAAGCTATGGGGAGAATGGTTAAGAACAAGCTGAGGATTACATCTATACATACGCATACACATACATACAATACATATATTAATGTATAATCATAAACTGGATTATGAGTCTAGGCAATAGTAAAATTCATTTCTATATAATTAGCTGTGGATTATTATTTCTTAAAATTGAAATGATGTAGAGGATGAATAACCTTTCTCAGTATGGTGCCCTCCAAATGATTTGTAATCCATTTTACATTTACATCTGGATCATTTTACATTTACATTTTGCAGAAGTCTGCATTAAAATGGTATTATCTGTAATTATATAAAAACAAATTAATGTTAAAAGCAAAATGGCATTAAACATTAATTTTTAATTAAAAATAAAAACTCACACTCTCTTATATATATATATATATATATATATATATATATATATATATATATATATA